CAGAGCCACACCCAAACCCTAACTGGCATGATTAGACGGAAAACCCTAACCATTGATTTTGCTACTGTCGAAGAAACCAACCAACAACGAGTATAGGCGAATTGCACAACCAATAACCCACGTTCATAGCAACTTCTGCATCAGAAGAACAAAGACGGAGCAGCAACCTCTGTAATTTGAAACCGTCAGAATTAGGGAACACGAAGCAACTAAATCAAAGATTCTGAGTCTGTTACCCACGTAATAAGAAGACTAATGCAACGATTTCCCTACCGATAAACCCCTCGAAAACCTTGCAAAACCATCATGGGGCATCTGCTGCAAACGCCAACACCAATCAAGCGGAGACAGAGTCTAAGAGAGACACCACTACTCTCTACTGGCCGCTAAAAACTATCCCAAGGGAAGCAACCCGCCGTCGGCCGCCATTTATGGACAGAAGTTTTGAGAATTCAAGAGAAGGTCACGGCGAGACGAGGGTGAGTCGGTTATTACAACATTGGGGAGTCTGTTATTCATGCCTACCCGTGTTGTGTAACTTCTACGTATACAATATGTAATTAATATCATCAATTATTATCTTATCTTGGTCGACCTTACATATATATAGAGAGGGTGAGTCAGTTATTACAAGATTGGGGGGTCGGTTATTCATGTGCCTACCCGTGTTGCGTAAGTTATGTAACTTCTATGTTCCAAATTGGGCATGTTTCAACGAATTGACGTTGAACAAGTCGACCCTCGTGTGTCACACGTAAATGGATAATTGAGCACTAATTGGGCTTTTTGGATTATAAAAAGTGGGCTTCCAATTTCCTTACATTTTATAGGAATAGTTGGTTCTACACTGGTCGTTCGTTAAACAATACCCCTAGCTGAAACCGGAAGGCAGGCTGGCTCGAACAATCTAGACAAAGACAGACAAACCTATGTTTGTAAAACCGCAATCTAAAAACTTTCCGATTTCTACCAAGATGATAAACTGAAAATCACCAACAAGAACAACTCAACACACACAACGTGATGTCTAGGTACTCGTCAGGTTGTGCAAGAAACTCCAAGCACACTACAAAAAAGAGGAGGCTTGGTCGTCCTCGGAAATAGGAAATATCGTCAAACTGTATCTTTCGAATCACCTAAAACCCCAAGCAGTAACAGAATTAATTTGTGTACCCTTCCATCCAATCACCAAGCCCTTTCCGTCCTTCTTCACTGTACATGGCGCCCAACACGGCAACTTCTTAGCCACTAGGTCTGCATGATATACCGAAGACCGGCTCATCTCCTTCTCCACCATTCCCATCCGTCGAAAATAAGTCCTCCAAACGTCCACCTTCATGTTCCTAACGATCCTCTCTCGTCCTTCGATCGCCAAAATGATCTTGCTCGACTCCCCAAACAGCATCGCCTCCCCATACTTCCTCATCGACTCATCTCTTCCCATGCATTCCTCCATGCAATCGAAAAATGCACTCGCATAGAACAATGATTCCACAAACCGGTCCACGAACACGGGTGAGTTCATGTTCCCTTCCACCTCCCCAACCACCATGACACGCGGGTTCAAACTTTGAACCACTCGAATTAGAGAGTCAAGCCGATCTGGAGGTTTGGTCAGAGTGTTGACCATATAGTCGGCATACACAGCTACGACATAGCCAGCCTCCACTCGTATGTGGTCCCGACTTAACTGAGCTAGGTCGGGGACCACAACCACTTCGAAGTTGCACGGAACGCCCAGGCTTTCCGCGAAGCTGACGAGCCTTTCCCCCGTTTGTTCGATTGCATGTTTCCCTAGAGTCGCCACTGCGGTTATTTTGAAGAAACGAACACGACGTCGTTTCGACCGGGCTGCTAGGGCTTGCATTAGGATGGTCCACTGTTGTCCGTTCCTGAGTGCGAGATCGACAACGTGAATCCTTCTGGCGCCCTCCATGTGCTCCACAATGACTTGCATCCCGGCAAACTGTGCGACCTGAGAGAAGGGCATTCTCCTATGGAACTCGGCCGACTGGACGCTCGGGTTCATCACCGCTTTATAAAATTCAAATGATTGCTCTTTGGCCACTTCTCCTGCCACAATCCGCCCGGTCTCCCTCTCAATCCGAGTCCTCAGAGCCTGCGAGTAGTAGAAGACCAGCCTCTGGATCGGGCTCCCCACAGGGGACGACCGCCAGTGGCACTGCTCTAGCAGTGTCCTGGCAGCATCGAATCGACGAATATCGACGCTCTGACAAGCTTCGAGGAGGAGCCCCGTGAGCTCCACGCTCTCTGACTGCTCGTCAGAGAGCGTGATGTCGGCCACAATCGACGGCATCGCATAGTTCCAGTGGGATCCCACGAACTTCGATGCGGCGATCCTAACCAAATCTTCCACCGATAGTGACGCATCTAGCGATGATGATGATGACGTCACTGGGAATAGATCTCCAAGCGTTCCCTGGATACACAAGCTATCCTCCTCCGTATGTGGGTCGTGATGGAAGGTGTTGGAAGGCGGGAAAGGGATCAGTTCTTGGTCGGTGATCGGAGCTACGCCGCCGCTGCCGAAATCTAATCCCCGGGGAGGGAAAATATCATGTTTTTCCATATGTGCGTGAACAACAACAACAACAAAAAAAAAGAGGTTTTGTTTACGCTAGGAAATTGGAAACTGCGAGTATCCTAGCTCCTTATAGTTACAAAAATTTATAGTTAGGGATCTGTATATGATGCTTAGGAATGTGGTCTTGTCTTCACTGAACGGCTACTATATGGATCCTCTTTGTTCTTTGCGTACTCTAGGTGAGGAAATCCAAGGAAACTATAGGTAGGCAGATTCGTATCTTTTGCGCAAGCCGGCCTAAGCAACCAAGAGGTAGGAACTAGGAAGGACATTATTTGTGCAGAGAAAACAAAATTAGTTTATCATTAGAGATTAGCTTAATTAAGTTGAAAGTCAGCAACAATGGATCCAAGAGTGCCAATGATCTATTTATAATTTGCGATGCCCGAGGAGATGTGATGTTACTGTTGATGTGGCGTATAATTTAATACGAATTGATATATGTAATAGATAGTAGATATATAAATTTGTTGAGTATTTAAAAAATTAAGGCAAAATACATCTGTATAGTCAAAACTTTGACGATTTTGCCAATCATAGTCAATGTTGACGAAATAACAAAAATAGCCATTTCCGTCCAATTCTTTGACGGTGTGAGTTAACGTGCTGACTGGACTAACAGAAAAGCTGACATGTCAAACTTTTAGTCAATAAAAATATGAGGTGAAATTAGTAAAAAAAAAAATAAAAAAAATTATTATTTTCTCTCTCCCCTCTCGGTTTTTTCCCCTTCCCTTTCCCCGACCGCCACTCATCTTCTCGAATTTCTCCCTCTGTCTCATTCTCACCACCGCCGTTGAGGAACCGCCTCTCCACTTCTTCACATAAACTTAAATTAACCAGAAACCCATTCACAATACATCAATGATCTGCCTCTTCGAATATACTGATTCTGCAACCATCTGCCTATCCCAACAAAAACCTCCAAATGCAAACATCTCAATTCCTAAACCAAAAAACCCAAAATACAACATTCGTTTCAATTTCCCACCGTGATAGCGACGGGATCGTCGGAGAAGAAGGCAACATAGAGGTCTGTGAAGAAATCGAAGCATCCGGGCGACCAACAGATCTTATAGGCGGCGATTCACGCGCTCGGCGGCAACGAAGGCGTAGTCGTCGAAGCTAGTGTAGAGGTGCCAGATCCTGGTGTCGAGGACGCCGATGATGACATCGATGATGACTCCGTGACGGAGTTGAGGGGTAGTGGTGTGGAGGTGGCAAATCTGGTCAGGGACGACGAAGAGGATTCCCGGGGTGTGGAGGAGGCGGGAGGCTCGGTCGGCGATGAGGGAGGCGGAGAAGGCGGCGACGGTGTGGGAGTAGATTTAGAGGAGGGCGGAAGGGTGGGGGAAGATGGAGGCGAGGGTAGAAGTTGGAGACGAGAGGGGATTGAATAAGGGAAGGAGATTCGCAGCAGGGAAGAGGAAGAGTTGGAGAGAAGGGCGGCGACCACGAGCACTGGAGAGAGAGGAGAGAGGATGTAAATATAATTTTGATTTTTTATTATTTTTAAATTAAATATGACATGGCATCTATGTGGCAACTGTTATTGAGTTGTTGATGATGTGTCCGGTGAGTTGGCAGCCAAATCATTGTTCCATTAATTTGACTAACGGTGTCACTGACGCTGTTAAACTATGTAACGGAAATGGCTACTTTCATTTGTGAATATTAGTGAAAAGTGAAAATGCTCTCAAGTGCGCTCTCTGAAAATCCAGCTCCGGCGCCGTCACTCTTCCCTTCTGACCGGCCTCCAGACACGGCACTGACTCTTTCAACAGACTCTTCACCTGCTTCAATTTCGACACCACCCCCGACCACCTCGACCTCAGACATGCTCATCGACATCACTGCTGTTGCGGTTCCTCCCATTACTCAGATGAACGTGAAAATATCGGCTCTTGAAAACCAAGCGAACGAGATCCAAAGCCTGACCCCCACTGAGACGGTGACGACTCAGCCCCGTTTCTCCTATGCTGGGGCAGTGACAGGCTGGAAGACACCAACGCAGCCTCAAACTCTGACCAATCAATGGACACCGGTTGGGGAAAATGATTTGATCCCAGGGGAAAAGAATGGGGAACCCGCTCTAAACGTCTCCTCTAGCTTCAAATCAAAGATCTGTGCACCTTGGCAACGAACTTTGGTAGTGCGACTACTCGGCACTAAGATTGGCTTCTCCACACTCTGTTCTCGGCTTCGAAGTCTCTGGCGTCCGATCGGCCAGATGGAAGTCATGGATCTTGATCAAGACTGTTTTTTGGTTAAGCTTGGAAATGAACAAGACTATTTCTGAGCATTGACAGATGGGCCGTGGGTCATTTTTTATCACTATCTGGTTGTTCAACAATGGACACCGAAATTCAAAGTCTCCGACCCTCTCCCCAAAACTATGATAGTCTGGGTGCAGCTCCCAGCGCTGAAAATGCATTTTTACCACAGGGAGGTGCTGACGATGCTCGGAAACCTCATTGGTCGAACCATCAGGCTGGACTACCATACTCTCAATCTTCATCGTGCTAAGTTTGCTAGGCTGGCTGTGGAAGTTGACTTAACCAAACACCTTGTTCCTCGGATCTGGTTGGACGACGCCTGGCAAAAGGTGGAATACGAAAACCTGCCGGAAGTTTGCTTCGATTGCGGCAAGATTGGCCACTCATCAGAACTCTGCCCGCTGAACAGGACGGCGGCGCCCCCGACCCTCCTCGCAATCTCCGACGGCGAAATCCAACCGGGGGCGGCGGAGCAAACGGCGGAGGAACCAAACCCGGGGTTTGGGCCCTGGATGCTGGTCACCCGGAAAAGTCGGCGTTATCAGAGGGATTTCAGCAACAGCAAAAATGGAAAGCAAGAGCTCGATCAGGGCCAGATCGCTGGCGGATTCAAAGCCAGTCAGGGAAAGAGCGGATCTTCAGCCAATGAAGGAATTTCCTCTTCTACACATCCGACGCTCTCTACAAGCAACGCTCCGCAACGGTCCCTAAATCAAGAAAGGAAAACGAACTCGGGGAAGAAGGGAGGAGATGATGCAAGGAAAGGAAAGGAGAAAATCTCAATCGACCACAAAGGGCAAGGCGGCAGACAAGGGAAAGGGGTCCTCGGCTCGGGGCCAGAAAGACAGCAACTCTCGAATCTTGGGCCGAAGCCCAGTGTCGATACTCATCATGCCTCCACCTCGGCCCAGATGACTACGAAGGAGACTGACCCTGGAAAGCCCAAGACAACCTCCCAACCCCCCGCTCCCCCCGCCACCCAAACCTTAACAGGGCCCAATGGAACTGTGATGCAAATAGTTGACCTACGAGATGCCTGACCCGGTATACACAGCGCTACGACCTCGTCCTCACCCTCGGCAGCATCCAGAACGAAACGAAACAAGAAACAAAAGGCCGACCAACGGAGGTCTCCCACCAAACTCAACCCAACGAAAAGTCTTCAGATTTGGTCTCCGAAAAAGGATCGGAAGACTAAATCGAGACCAAGAATTGCGTCCCTCACGATGCAAGAGATTGCTGCCTGGACGAATGCAGCGAAGCAAGCCTCTGCCATTCCGGGAACGCAGCAGCCAGCGACTGATTCGGGGGAGCTCTCGGCTAGTGGCACACCAGCAGAGCAATCAGGCCACACCAACTGATGATTCTTCCCCTTACCTCTCTCTCTCGTCTCTTCTTTTTTCATTTCTTTTATGCCTATGTCGACTCTCACTAACTTTAAAAATTTTGCGTGGAATGTTGGGGGTGCAGGGAACAAAGCTTTCATCCGTTCTCTGAAGCTACCCATCCAGAATCATCAGCCGGATTTCGTCATCCTCCTCGAGCCTCAGATTAGTGGCACAGCGGCTAACTATACCTGTGACAAGCTAGGTTTCCCAAATTCTCTGCGGGTGGAGGCGGATGGTAGGAAGGGTGGTATCTGGGTGTTTTGGGATGCGCGCAAGTTCTCTGTACAGCTGATGTCTGCTTGCTATCAGCATATTTCGCTTCGGGTGGAGCAAGGCAACTGTCCCCCATGGGTCCTGACCGCTGTTTACTCCTCGCCCAAGCCCAGTAACCAGCAGGAGCTATGGGATAACATCCTCACTCAAAGTAACCAGATTGATATCCCGTGGCTCGTCACGGGCGATTTCAACGCGATTCGCGCCCCGTAAGAGAAGTCGGGGCCCCCTACGGCGAATACCCTGAGGAGATGTCGCATTTTCAACGACAGGATCCAGATGGCGGAGCTAATCGATTTGGGTTTCTCAGGGCCTCTTTTCACTTGGACCAGGGGGGACCAACTTCAGACGTACAGAGCGAGTAGGATCGACAGAAGCCTGTGTAATCTGAGGTGGAACGAGGTCTACCCCAACACTTCCGTGATGCACCTCCCTCGGCTCCAATCTAATCACAGTCCCCTCCTCACTACTGTTTCCTCTCCAGGTGCAGCCCCGACTACTGATCGTCCCTTCCGTTTGGAGGCGGCTTGGCTTACCCATACCAACTTCAAAGATTTTGTTGGCTCGGCTTGGGAGGGTAATGCTCCTCTTCATAGTGCTTTGGCCAGTCTTGCGGGCAGCCTCAGAGAGTGGAACATAAATGTGTTCGGCCACATTAAGAAGAAAAAGAACCGTTTGCTGGCTCGCCTAAAAGGTTTGGAAACAAGGTTAGCGATCTCTTTCGAGCCAGGCTTGGCGAAACTCCACTCTAAGCTGGAGGCTGATCTGGATAAGGTTCTGGAGGAAGAGGAAATCTTATGGTTTCAGCGCGCTAGAGACCAGTGGGTGAAGTTTGGCGAGCGCAATATGGCATATTTCCATCAGCAAGCCAACATCAGAAAAAGGCGAAATAAGATCGAGGCTTTACGGGATGAGAATGACCTCTAGGTGAATGATCCTAAATATCTTGCTCTCTTGGTTTTCGATTTTATTACTAACCTTTATGTGCAGGAAGTGTCGGCTTACGAGGATAAACTTCCGAGGAGCTCCTTCCCAAGACTGCCCCAGACAGAGCTGATGCAGTTGCTAAGACCCTTCACCACCATGGACATTCACAAGGCAGTCTTTGAGATGAAGCCCTTCCAGGCCCCTGGTCCCGATGGTTTTCATGCCGCCTTCTACCAACAGATGTGGGGGACTGTCGGCAAAAATCTCACGGACATGGCGCTTTCCTTTTTCAACACCGGTGTTCTCCCAGATTCAGTCTCCGAGTCCACCCTGGTCCTCATCCCCAAAGTCGACTACCCTGAAAGGGTGATGCAGCTTCGCCCGATTTCCCTTAACAACGTCAGTCTCAAGGCTATCACGAAAGCGATGACCAGCAGACTGAAGCCGCTCATGAGGAAACTTATCTCCCCCAGACAGAGCAGTTTCATCCCTGGGAGACAAACCGCTGATAATATTATAGTGGTTCAGGAGGTTCTCCATTCTTTCAGAAAAAGGAAAGGGAAAAAGGGAGGCCTGATTTTCAAGATCGATTTAGAGAAGGCCTATGATCGGCTTCGCTGGGACTTCCTGCGAGACACGCTAAAGGAGATCGGGTTGCCAAGCTCCTGGATTAACTGCATCATGACCTGTGTGGAGCAAAACAGGATGCGGATTCTTTTGAATGGAGAGTTATCTTAGCCGTTTTCCCCATCCCGCGGAGTCCGTCAGGGAGACCCTCTCTCACCCTATTTGTTTGTGCTTTGCATGGAGCGTTTATCGCATAAAATTGATGAAGCTGTGGACAATGGCCTTTGGAAAGCTGTTAAGCTTACTGCCAACAGTCCACCTCTTACCCATCTCTTTTTTGCAGATGATCTCCTCCTGTTTGCGGAAGCAGAATCCCGCCAAATTCAAGTTATTCAACAGTGCCTGGAAGATTTCTGCTTTAGCTCCGGTCAAAAGGTCAGCTTCAACAAGTCCATCATGTATGTCTCCCCAAATATCCCCCGGCGGAGAGCAGAAAGACTGAGCCGGCAAGCAGGAATCCCCCTCAAAGCGAACCTAGGCAGATATCTGGGCATTCAGGCTATCTAGGAGCGGGTGACCAGAGAGAGATATCAGCCCCTCCTTCTCCGGATCCAAAAGAGGATGGCACCCTGGAAGGCGAAGCGCCTCTCTTTTGCTGCCAGGCTTACCGTGGCCAAGTCAGTTGCTGCCTCCCTCCCTGTCTACAATATGCAGACTGAGCTCCTCCCTACCAATGTCTGCAAGAGCATCGATAAGATCAGCAGGGATTTCATCTGGGGAGACGAGACGGAAAAGAACAAGATGCACCTAGTTGCGTGGGAGAAGATGACCGTGCCCAAAAGTAATGGCGGGGCGGGACTTAGAAATACTAAGGACGTGAACCTAGCTATGCTGGCAAAGGGTGGGTGGCGCCTTCTTCAGGAAAAAGATTGTCTTTGGGCTGAAGTGATGCGGGCAAAATACGGCAAGCAAAGACAAGGCATCAACATCCTTCGGCCAATTCAGGGAAGTTCTTTCACTTGGGCCAGCTTCTCTAAAGCTGCTCATCTTTTACAAAAAGGGTGTGCCTGGAATATTAAGAACGGCAAACGCACTAAATTCTGGCTTGGTCCCTAGGTTTTGCAGGTTCCTCTCCGGGAGAAGGCTTTGAGCAAGATCCCGAGCGAGCTTGAAGAGGCACGGATTGCTGACTTTGTTCGAGAGGACGGGAGCTGGCGAACGGAGCTTTTTGCTCACCTCCTGCCCATGGAGATCCACCAGAAAATCCTTGGCATCACCGTTGATCCCCTATCACAGGAAGAGGGCCTTTTGTTCTGGACAGCTACCTCTGATGGCAGATTCTCCACTAAGTCGGCCTTCACCTTGCTTACCCAGCAGCAGCCGCACCCTGACGAGAGATATTGGAAAGTCATTTGGCGCCTTGCCGTCCCGGAAAGAATAAGAAGCTTCATGTGGCTTGTCCTTCTTGGGAGGATTGTTACTAATGTCCTCAGGTACAACAGGCGGATCCCGCCAACCCCTTTTTGCACTCGATGTTCCAGCCAGCCGGAAACCATCTTGCACATTCTTCGGGACTGCCCTCCTGCCACTTTTTTCTGGTCAAGACATGTCCCTCAGCAGCAGCAGCAGACTTTCTTCAGCATGGATCAAGGTAGCTGGCTTCGAACCAATCTTCTTTCGAACACTTCGACAGGCACAGGGATAGAGTGGCCGAATTTTTTTAGCATTGCGGCCTGGCTTTTATGGAAGAACTGCTGCACTGCAACTCTCCAGGGGGTGGATGCCGCCTTGTCCTCACCAACGCTGGAGCACTCCATCATTACCAAAGCCAGGCTGTGGCATGAGTCGTGGCTCACCCCATCTCTGATGCCGGACAATCGGAGCCGCCCGGCGGAGCGCCAGCTTGCAAACATTGGGTGGTCTCCTCCCCCCAATGGGTGGGTCACGCTGAACATCGACGGAGCTTCAAACGGCAATCCCGGGCCGTCGGGTGCCGGCGGGGCCATCAGGAATTCCACTGGTCAATGGTTAGGAGGGTTTGTGGCAAACATCGGCGCTGCCACCGCGGCGATGGCCGAACTTCGGGCCTTCGAGCATGGTTTGGAGCTCGCTTGGAGGCTGGGTTACAGATCTATGAAAGTGGAAAGCGACTCTCAGTTGGCTATACAGCTTATCCAGAACAGAGAAGACCCGATTCATCCGTATGCTACTCTGTTAGCTGCGATTCGCATGAAGCTTAGTCGGGATTGGTTGATCAGTATTACCCATGTATATCGAGAAGGGAATAGAGTCGCGGACTGGCTCTCGAAACACAGTCTCGTCTATCCCTACGGTGTGCATGAGATTGCTGATCCACCAACCGGACTAACTACGTTTCTTCGGGAGGATTTTCTTGGCACTACCTTCGAGCGCCGCATAGCGGCTCCCCCTACTCGTTCTCTGTAACCCCCCTTTTTCTCTTTCCTGGCTTCTGCCTCCTTCAAATGCAAAAAAAAAAAAAATATAACGGAAATGGCTATTATTGACATTAAACTTTCAAATTTCTGGCTATTATTGGTATTTCTCCAAAAGTGGCTATTATTGTGACAAACGTCAAAGTTTTGGCTGCACAGATGAATATTGCCAAAAATTAAAGTAGCTCTATTGTCAAAACTCGAAACTAATATGTATACTAGAGTGTTCATTTAGTTGCTTATCTTTCAACAGGTCTAACAATAGAGTAACTATATACCATGCTAGTAAAGTGTGTAACAAATTAAATTCCGCTTCTAGATATAAGAAAAATAATCTTCGAAAAAAGTGTTTCTCCGGGATTTCTGCATTGTTATTTACTTCATAAAAGTTCTAGTTGTTTTTTATTATTACTAAAAGAGATTAAATCCTTA